CCAGCACACACACACATTTAGCCCCATAATCTGATTTCCACAGAATGACACAGCATCACTGATCAAAGGAAAAGCTAGAGGGAGGAAGCAGACGTAAAAGTGTGAATTTGTTGAATATTTAAAGTTTTTCAGCAGGAAGGTATTAAAGTATTGGGTTACATCTGTCTCCTACTAGAGAGGGACTCCGTGCCTCTGTGTCTGCAATGCCTGGTACACAGTAGGTCTTCAGTAAATTTCTGAAGTTAGGGCAGCCCTCCCCACCCCCCTGACCCACCTCCAAGTTATTTTAGAACGTGTATCTGGTGGCATTCTTCAGGGGGTGCAGAAACTGTTTCCGACCTTGGAGAGTTTATATTGTCAGAACAAAGGAGGTGCCAGTGGAAGTGCCTTAGTATTGCTGATGACCACAATTACCGTTAGTAATGACCGTAACAGTTCTGGAACTTGTCAAGTTGTTTTAAGTAATTCAGAGCCCTGGATCACGAGATCCCAGCGAGGTCTGGCGGATGCTGCCTGACTCCTGAGATAGGAAAGCAGCAGTTTGGCCTCGCCCCTCCTGCCTAAGCGCTCCTGCTAGAATTGCTGATGCAATTTCTTTTTCATTCACAGACTAAATCCTATTGATTCGTTAGCAAGTGCTAACATTGAAAAAATTGTTGACTCACTTCCTAGTCTATGGTTAAATACAGTATAATTACTATCCAGCTCCACCTTGATTTTTTTTTTTTTTGTGAGGAAGATCAACCCTGAGCTAACATCCATGCCAATCCTCCTCTTTTTGCTGAGAAAGACTGGCCCTGGGCTAACATCCGTGCCCATCTTCCTCCACTTTATATGGGAGGCCACCACAGCGTGGCCTGACAAGTGGTGCATCTGTGCGCGCCTGGGATCCGAACCCGGGCCGCCAGCAGTGGAGCACGCGCACCTAACCGCTACGCCACAGGGCCAGCCCTGCTGCCTTGATTTTTAAAGAAGGAATTAACATGCAAGCATATTTGGCTATTCCTGAGAAATTGTTCCTAGAGAATTTTGATTTAAATAGCATTTTGAATGTGCACAAAGACTCGTGGAGGTAAATTGTTCTGTAACGGGAAGAATGCTAACATTTACATGAACACGAGGCTGCTTTTAAAGGATCGCCTCATACCTGCAATCCCTGTGAATAGCTTTAATCGACATGTGGTAGGATGCTAGTCAGATACTAAGTAGAACGTGGGAACTTGATAAAATAAGAGAAAGAGCTTCTATTAAAGCAGATGAAAAATATTTCCAAATGATTTACATATGTGTATTCCTAAGTTAAGGAGGAACTTTTTAATTATGGAAAATACTGTCATCTTCCCATATGTTAAAACTCTCCCTTGAAAACTGTCAGCAAGTTGCTGATTCCTCCATCACTGCAGAGCCGATGAGTGATTCTCTGTTGAGGGCTGCAGTTAGTATGCAGGATTTCCAGCATGTAGTACAGCCAAAAAAGGAAACATTATGAATATCTAACAGAAAAAAATATTGGTTTCCAGCTGCTTTCAGAATTTTCATATTCATGGAATTTGGTTGGTGGGGCAGCCTCAAAGGGACCATTTTCACTTACAGCCCTGGCAGCCCCATGAGAGACACATGGTTTGCACTGTACAGAAAAGCTAAGTTTTCTTTGTTCACGTGTGTTGCTCAGACAGCCCATACACATTTCCTATTTTCTAGTTGGATGGTTCCTGATGTGGGCTGTGGCTCAGACAAACAATTTTACAGTAACTGCCAGTCAGGATTCTGCCCTACTTGTTAACAACTTTTCATTTTATAATGTTGCCTCTCATACTTTTCATTTCCTTCTTTTAGACCCTAAAGCCCTCATTGCCTTCATAAAGTTTTGCTCAGCTACAGGGATGAATTTGGGGGCCTGAAGCTTAGAAGAAAAACTTGTTTTCAACAGAGAGCACGTTACAGAAAGAAAAAGGTAGTGTATTTACTAAAGTTGGAAAAAGGCAAATGTTGGTTCCTGCTGCCAACACTTCTTAAAATTTGGACATTCTGCTCCAATAGCAGCTCTTTCAAGAACTACTTCCCTAATTTCTTCGTTTGGAAGATGTGGGAACTCAGCTTCTCGTAGATGATAGGAATAGCCCAAGGACATTGGAAATTGTACATTTAGACTCTGGTTTTGGGTCAGACAGTCTGGATTTGGGAACCTAGGCTGAACTCATCAAGATCCCAGTGTGGCTGGAGGAACAAGGCAACATGTCCTTGCTCACCTGCTCTGTGTCTGCTCCCTTTCTCCAAATCCCTTGTACCCACCAGGTCAGGGTTTTTCGACAGTGACACTTTTGACATTTTGGACTGGTTAATTCTTTATTGTGGGCGACTGTACTGTGAACTGAAGGATGTTGAGCAGCATCCCAGGCCAGCACCCCCTGCCCCAGTTGTGACAATCAAAATGTCTCCAGACTTTTCCAAGTGTCTTTTGGGGGTGGGGAGGTGGGCAAAAAATCAGTTACCTCTGGTTGAGAACCATTGCTTTAGTTGGGTGACTTAACCTGAGCAAACTAATTGCCTGTCTTAATTGGGGGCTGAGGATGAGTAGGCTGTCAATCACAGGTAGGAGTGGAGCTGTGGGAATTGAGGGGGAGGATGATACCCAAGGAAGGATGTCTCAGGCCTACCAATTAAAAATATCTATCCTATTAGCTCTCACATTTCTGGTTTTGGTATAATATTAGAAACATTTTTGTTTGCTATTCTGACTGAGCAACTACCTAATAAAAACAAAGACATATTCTTCTAAGCCCTTTATATATTAACTTATTTAATACACCAAGCCTATGATGTAGGTGTATTATTAATATTATTCTCATTTTATAGATGGGGAAACTGAGGCATAGAGGGGTTTCGTAAGCTGCCTAGCGGCTAGCACGAGGCAATGGCAGGATTCCCATGCATGTCATCTTCCT